TCTACCCTGAAATCTTGAATTGTTGTAAGATCGAATCCCCTTTTCTATTCGGTACAAGTTTCTGTAGGGAGTTTCTGGTTTCATTCATTGGAAGCAGGCCCGAATGGTATAAAACAGTGATCAAGCACTTTTTTCTTTGGCGACTTCTGGCTTAGATTCCTCAGAACCTCTGAAAACTTGCTGTGAGCTCATCAGCTGGTCAAATAAGGTGCAATTTCGAACTATTATACTTCACTACCTTTATTTACCATTTCTGACCGAAAGATTGTTTGTGATGTAAACCTAATACCTGGTGCAACATATAATTTAAATACTAAAAAATAAAGTGAAAGATGTCTCTTCCATGTATGAAAACTGCTTGCGCAGAGTGTCTCACTTACTCTGCATTGCCGAATTGCCGTTGCGATAGCCCTACGAGATGTTTATACGTCTGCTCTCTCGGGGCAGATACGGCGATTTGCGGAAGTTTCTACTTGATTTCGTCGTTGCCGACGGTGGGTTCTGAACCTTAACAAGTAAAAATGTCGAATGGAAGAAAAAGGCACATTTCGCCTAAGCTGTACGCAGATGATTAACATCTGTGCCCATTGTACCGCCAATAATTGAAATAGCGCTAGTAGACATTAGGATATACAGAGGAGGCAATGCGAACGCGTGATGCGTGTTGGCCCTGGCTTCTCGTAAACGCCCTTTGTCAGCGGGTAGTAAAGCGTTCGTCATTGTTGTGAATGTCGCGTTGGTTTCAGAGTTCGCAGCTAACAGAAAACTGCTCCGCCTGGTATGTAGAAATGGAACTGCCTTTAAGTAGACCATAAGTAAAAGCACGTATATCATCATGCAGCAGAGAAAACTGTATGTATGACAAGCGTCCATATACTGAGCTCTTACTACATGGCCTACAATTTTTCGCGGTATGTACAGATAATGATACAATACCTATAGCTCCTGGATCACGGTGGCTTTAATAGTTTAAAGGATGCGCCTGTTTCAACATTGCTGCTATTATTGCTTTGACCTAGGTCGCAGTAAGGGCAACGCAACTGAAGAGACTTCGCGAATTTATTAGCTCTACCGCAGCATCATAGATTAAAAAGGTACTGGGAGCTGTCCATTGATTGGTGTCAATGCTGATAAGCCAACGCACGTGGTGAAATAAGACACAGTGGTCTTAGCTTATGCTACACATCATTTATCACACATTATTGTATTCAAGTTTCATGAAAATGAGGCGTGCCTTATCAGAGAGAATGAAACTTGCTCATGCTAAACATCCAGGGTATGAGACACTATCAACGACAGACCTTTGCCTCACGGAGGGGCCAGTTGAATTTAGTTCTGCCAAGGCTTATATATTCAGTGCTCAGATGTTGACCGTTCATATTTTTATCACCACTTGCCTCCCATGACAATTTTTAATACAGACTTTTGAGTCTTTTTCAAGGCGCGTTCATTTAATGCCACAAACTTCTTATTAAAATAAGGGCAGGGATCTCACAAGTAGGAGAGAGATACCAACACACTTTTATTTAAAAGATTACAGTTGCCCGAGCGGTAATTACAAGAAGCGAGACACATCTCAGCAACTTCGCGTACAAAACTCTTAAAAGGGCCTTAGATCAATCGAATACAACAATTCACAATTTCGAAAGGCCAAGGCCAATGTTAGGCTCCTTTTGCACTATATGAATTCACCAATGAATCTGCTTTATTCTACGATACGTAAGAGAAATGTGTCGATGAATCAAAAATCGCAAGAAAAGCGGTATTATTTAGTGACTGTACATACCTCCCTAAGCCATTTATTTAATTTTGTTTGTGTAATCTCTATGTATTCGTTTCATATTGAAAAGGTTTTAGCCCACTTACAACTGTGAACTTTTTATTTTCTGTTCAGGTTTTAACTGCAAGCCTACTTGTTTAAAAAGAATATGTTTTCGTTTATTAAGTTTGTTATCTTGATTGTGTTCCATGCCGCCGTCGACGCCTCAATTGCCTTCGATGCTCAGAATTACGGCGGATATAATTCTTTCTTATACGGACGTGGATATAGCGAGCGAGTGAAATAATAACTATTTCTATTGTAAGTACTACGCACCCATATGCAGTACGTATTCGCTATACAGCACGCTCGTCAACTAACTTCACTGCTACAAGTTAAACTGATCTTGTAAGTTTCAATTAACAGAACAGAATTCTTACGAACAGTGTCTCCATCACAACAGCTAACTCTTATATATTACACATATTGAAGGAGATTAGGGTTGTTACTTTAAGTTTCACCAACGACACGGCCTACCTGTGTAACCTGTGTAAATAAAATTATGTATATACATATTTTGAGACTCAGTATTACGTTTGTTAATATTACCAGAGTAGTATTATGTAGTTTTTGAATAGGGGATTTCTGAATGCGGGCGTAAAATATTCATATTTATGTCGCATGGCCAGCCTTAAGCCAGCGAACTCTGGCCTTTCTTCAATATATCAATAATTCGATTTTTTCGTAACCTTCTTTCTGTCGACTATGGTGATACGGCTTGAGCAGCTACAACAGATATGGTCGCGATTACGAATACTCTGGTGAAAAATTTCGTTCGGTTGTGGCCTTCCGCTTCGGAATTCGACGATAAACCTTAACGAAGGCCCTTGCAGCTAGAAAAAAACGTATTCCCTCTGTCACAACTGTCGTTCAAATGCTCCAGTGTATCAGGACATAAAAACATCTTACTGGTCATTCATTAACGTATTAATAACGTACGGAAATTTTAACTAATTTCCTTACGTTATTAATTTAAGAGAACTAAGCTAGCGCAGTTGTATGATTATGATTTTCCGTTGAAGGTCTTAGTGTTTGCGTTTTAATACTCGCTTTGTTCATTGGTTCTCATACGGTGTAGTAGTAGTAGCTTTAGCTTCGAAGCGATAGCTCGAAAATCCATCTCTGCTTTACGTAAGTTTATTTTTGTCTAAATATCAACTTCCAACTGTGAAAACCTGCCTCTTCCAATGGCGAAAAAAAGTTCTGCTTCATCAATCAGATCATAAAAGTCATTTTCAAAGGTAAATAACTTGTTTCAATAAAAAAAACAAACTGTTAATAATACTCGCGTATAATGTGTAAGAGAAACCTGTTCAAGCTGGAAATTACCTAAAAATGATAATATCTTCTTTGCATATGTCTCCGTTAATGCAACGTTCACAAAAACAAAAAGCGATCCGGCGAGTTGACCGGATCGTCTGATGCTAGCGAATATCAAAGATAATTCGAAATAGTCTGGTGTCCGAAGTCTGAATGAATATGTTCTTGTGTCAAATTTAATTACAGAGCTGTAGGCGAATTTATGCCAGAATCAGTCAGCATCAAACGCATAAGTGCCGGATTTAGCGGCTACTCATAGGACTATCTATGTTTGTACTGATGTATTTCATTGAAGATGTTGAATACTACTGCTTTATATTAGGCTGTTACAAACGAACTGGGCGAACTTTTTAGCTATTTAGGCTCGAATGGTGATTTTTAATACGTGTTAGAGATCGAATATTTTTTACATATATAACCCAGTGCTCTGACACCTTTTGAGCAGCTATTTACGTACTACCTTATTGATTGATTGATGATGATGATAATTAATATTTATTCTATGAATTCCTAAGGTAAATCAACAGTGAAATATGCTTGCTCACGAGCTGCCTTCTTTAGGACATAGTCCTTCAATCACACGGACTTAAATCGGAAAAGTCGGCGGGTTGAAGTCAACGTTGAATATTTCTTTGTTAAATCCAGGAAGTAATCGAGGCGTAGCGATGAGGTGACGTTTTCCAGATTGCGTACTTTCGATTACCATGTTAACGGTTCATCAGTTTCTAAGGGGCTTGAGATAGCTAGTACCATTAATTTTGGGCGAGCATCCCATAGTAGCAGATGCTTTCAACGTTCATTGCACGTAGTACCACTTGAGGTCTGAAAAGTGCTACTCGACACTACCATTACACCCAATTTTTTCCAGGACGGCGCTATTATTCTACCTAGTCCCTCTCCGCACGACGAGGAGCTGAAGTATGCCCCGTCTTTAGCGACCGTGTGCTCCAGACGGGTTCCTTTTGTATCGGAGTTCTCGGACTGCACGTGGAATATACGTTACACAGACTTAACAAGCCCGGATTCAATTCATTGGGGAGCGATATTTTACTCAAATTGTGTGTTTTCAGTGTTTAGGTTACGATTTTGTAATATGGTACTTGTGAAATGCTAGTTTTGGCCGACAGAGCTTTTAGACTCAAGTTGTGTCTACATGAAGGGCTGCTTGCAGCAATACACTTTTATCGATCGGGCCTTGGTATCTGATCACTTTTTAGCTGGTCTTCAAAACCCCTGATCATCGTTCTTGATGCGTTTGCACGATTCGCATACTGTGTTTTCGCTTAAAGCCTCATTGCTTGATTTTTTCACCACTATGGATTCAATGGATTTTCGTAGCACTGTGATCTTCAAAGAACAAAAATTTGGCCACAGATCATTGATTTTTCGAGACTAAAAAAATGTTTTTCCTTCTGAACTCATTGTTCCTAGAGTAAGCATACGTTTCTAAAAACTTGAGTATTTACCAGCCAAATTTAATCTGCTATTCGATTTTAAATCGTTGTATTTTACTTGTAACAGGCTAATGTCATAGTCTTCAGTCTATGCTAGGCCACTTTATGCATAGACAGTCGTCCTTCAATTGCTGCGTCTGCCGTTATGCGGGCATTTGAAGGCTTTCCCTAACGTTCCATCGTCACAACGACCGCTAGGCATCTTTTTCTTTGACGAAATGGTCATCTAAGGATATAGATTCCACCTGGAAGACTCGATATAATTAAACCAGTCTCTAGTGGGTTGTTGCATTATGGTTCCGCACAAAATAGCCGCTCAAGCGAGTCGAATTCGACCTATCGAGGTATTTTATGGTACCTAGTGGTAACTCGTACTGTATATATATATATATATATATATATTTAAGTCCGATGTGTCGATTGTTATCATCTAATGAAGAGGTGCAATAATGCATTTAGTAATGGAGCTCTTGCTAGGCTCTTATTATTAGAACAAGGACATAACCATTTCAACAAGTCTACTTTGGAAGGCCCAGTTACATTGACGGGAACCATCTTCGATCCGCTCAATCAATGCACGTGTATGAGTGGATTAATGATGACACAGTTGTTCAATGGGTGTCTCTTTAATTAGTTTATATACGTGTGGCTCAACTTATTCAGATCCGACGGTGGTTCACATGCTATTTACAGTCTATTCACAGGATCTATCTACAGTTCTAATGAGTTTTACTAGAATCTGACTGGCAGTGCTCAGTTCTCTAGTTAAGTTTTCTAAAGATAAGTTGAACTTAATATTTCGGAGAACATCTGCACAGACCGAACATTTACAACTTTATCACACGAAATTCAATCGACAAGGTCGATTTAGAGGAGTATCCGTCAGTTACTGCTGTACTTGTTTTTCCTTAACTTGGCAGTACGTCGGGTATAGAATACAACTTGCATAAGTTACTGGCTATACTATTCGATTGAAATTATCTGTAGGGTACATAATTTAGACCCTGTCGGAGTTAAATCACGTTGAATCGTGTCGACGAATCCTGAAAAAGAAGGTCTGTATATTTACTCAGCATGTCGTAAGAAACGTCTGGTTCAGCAGAAAATGCGCAACAGTTTTCGAAATTATTACTTAGCAAAATAGGTCTAGGAATTTGAACAAAAAATAAAATTAATAATACTTGGAGTACCTTAGTGCATTCAGTAAAAAGGAAAAACGCAAACCTAGCTTCCTGTATCGCAACAGCTTACTGTCACGCCGTAGATTGCACAACTAGGCGGTGAAACAAGTGCATAGAAGAATGACAGAAAAATTGGCCACTGTTATTTATAAAATGAATAGAAAAACGACTATTCTTATGAGGGCCGATGCAAGTCATGGCTATACAATGACGGGCTCTAAACACGCAGAGTTGAAACCTAACTTTCTTAAACAAGTACACATAACGGGCGGTAAATTAGAAAGATTCCTATACGTATCATATAATAGAACTAATGCGTCGTGAAAAATCAGGAAATATCAGGCAGTCTTCAATCAATTCAGAAGAGAGACATAGAAGCGATGTAAGAGGAAGTCAAGGTTGACAAGCAAGGAAGCGCCAAGGCTATTTTTATATGCTGTTCGACCGCACAAACATCTGTTTAGATCTGTCTGTGGCACTAACACACTGTTTATCTATGTAGTATTTAACTAGTGAAACGGAACAAGAACCTACTCCATTTGGCTGTCGACTGATTTTCATATCGGTTCATCTTTAAAACGAACCTTATTAATATCTTCTTGACAATACTTTATTATTAGAACTTAATTTGTTTTATTGATAGATGGTGCTTGAAACATAGTGCAGCAGTATCGAGAGGCCGGTCCTACGTTAGATGGAACATTTGAGATTATCCCCTTTAATAAGCTGATAAGGAACGAAGCAATTGGCTTCTACTTTACGCTAAATGTATTCAATAAAGCGTACGATTCGATATCAAATGGATCCTTACCAAGTGTGAATGAGTTCCAGTGCCAGAGGCGAGATGTCCTTTACGAGCACCTTGACCGTTAGCTGTGAGACGAGGACCGTTGTTATTGATTGTAGTCATTTCAACCTTGTAGGTGGGATTATCATACGCGGTGAGATCAGGGGCGCCCTTTGGTCTGCGGGACGCAAGGTGACTCCAAGCAAACGCAAAGCCTACGAGTACCAGAAGGCCTAAAAAGCGGAAGGTAATGCAAAGGTAGGCCCAGTGAGTATTTGCTAAACCTATAGGTTTTTATCCACAGTTACGATTGCTAATAGAAATCATATTGCCAACGTTTATTTTTTGCATCACAGCACTCTAAGACGAGCTAGAATAAAAGATAAAGCCTCAAGACAACTTGGCAATGGTCGCTACCAAAGTGCGATGAGACGGCATTTCTCTATATGGAAATTTAAATTAATCTTACGCCTCTTATACGTACGTATATGTGTGTGTATATATCATATATGTGTATCAATACAAACGATAGAGTAATCGATGTTCTAAAGTAGCCGCAATGGACAATAATTATCTGATCTAGGAGGGGATCCCAATTAAATTATCGAAATAACTTCTGACATATAAATGCATCAGACTGACCCAGGACAATAATAACAAGTAGAGCTATTTGGAGAGTGCGTTTAGCGCTTTCGTGGTGACCTTTGCGTGCTCCGTCCGGCGTGCGTAGTTCAAGCGTATTCGATAATGCCCTGTCACCGTTGTTAAGGAACGCTTCCAGGCGCACCTGAAACGGACGCGTCAACTTACCTAGCGGTTCATGCTTCCGCAGCAACAATTATTATTCCACTTATCTAGTACATAAAAACCACAACTTAACAACCCTGTGAAATAATCATCTAAATGATTTCAAAATTTAACTTAGGCGTTGCGTCAACGCGAGGATGCAGCTTACAGGTACACGACATGAACATCTTAGTACGACAATAAAGATAACGACAGCTTTATTTAGATAGGGGTCTCTACTATTTTCCATGGTCGTGACCGACTAAAATGAACCTTGTACGTAGTAGATGGTTGAAGGCCGTCGAGACTGATCTTTGCTTCCCTGAGTTTCTGGTAAATTTCCACGGGTGCTCGCTGAAGATTGGACTCGCGTAAAATATGTACGATCTGAACGAATTTGGAGACCGGTGAAGGCACACCTTGGAGTAGGATACTTGCCGATTCAGGGTTAACCTGTTCAGGTGAGAGCGTGATCTATAATACATGGAAGGACAAATTATGGAAAACACATATAAGCATTTGATTATTGTGTGGGCGACGTATCGTTGCCAATACTAGCCTACAGCTAGAGAGCTGTAACTATTAGCCTTAAAACAAAGACCTGGGTCTTTCACAATATATTGATACATTGGCTTCTGTGTGTTTTTTCAAGGTATCAATTTAGCATAAAGATAACAACGTACATAGGTATAGACCAGTGATTTAATATTACTTTGGCCCTCTATTTCAGCTCCAAATTGTAATAATATTCATTTTACTCTAAGTGCTGTTTAACGAAGTACCTTAGATCAGAATTAGAATTACAAACCTTAAAGGAGAAATCGTCATTTGGGGTAAGGATCTTGGCTGATTTTTCAGAAACTATCCGAGCGTTTGTTTTCGATACAAATTCTAGATCGATAGTATACTTCTTATTTGGCTGAACTCTCTCCAGTTGGTAGGATGTAATGTCTCGGTGAAGTAATTGGCTCGTCTGCCATAAGCCCGCGGGGCTGTCAGCTCGCCTGTACTTGACCTTTACGCCGTCGACGAGTTCTTTTTCTGCCATTGTTAACGGTCGCCACTCTACACGAATGGTGGAATCCTTTGTTGCTAACTCGAGTCTCATGTCAAGCCGCACCAGCGATGGGGCCACTAAAGTTTCACAAAGTATAATTTTTAAAAACAAACAATAGGATTATCGCACGAAAAATATAAATCGTGTAATAATTTAGGGGAATCAAAATTAGATGAGCCGATGGATATTGTAGGGACAAAAAACAGCTACCGTCTGGAGTTTCGATCGCAACTATTGCACTTCGTGGATGTTCGCGCATTGAGTTAATGTCGACGATGATCTGGAACACGTAGCCTGTTTTTGGCTTGAGACCGCTCACGAAGTTCTCGACATCAGCTCGTTCGAATATCTCTCCAGGGGGAACAAAGCGTTGTACCTCCCACTCGTTGCGGTCCTTTTCTCGCTCTGTAGAGTAGTGCACCTATATATATATATACACATATATATGTGAAACATTTAAGAGAAAGGCAAGAAAAAAGTTAGTAGTCTATGAAAAGATGTTGGGCGTACCTCGTAAACAAACCATCTCTATTCATAGAAGCCACTGTGCTATTTAAAACGACGTTTGTTTGCTTTCGTAAAGGCGTTTCGGACTAAATTGTGTCGTTATATCAGTAGTATACGAAATCAATCTCAGTTGTTTTGAATGAGAGTTAAAGCGTATATGGTGCTATTGACTGCTATCTCATGTACATTACCGCTTATAATTTAACAGCAAAACTAAGCAAACTAAAAATAGGTCTTCATGGTGAATACACTGGGTTCTAAGCAGGAATTTACACCCATTCATACCTCAGAATGACCTGTCTGACCGACGAGCATTGTAGGTAGCATGAAACGCACTCGAACCGTTGTCGAATTCAGAGCCACAACTGACACGTCCCGAAGTTCAGTGTCGGCAATTGGACACATCCAGTGGGTACAACATGTATCTCCTGGTAAGTAGCCGCGGTAAGCGAGCGACAGGGGGCAAGGCAAGGTCGGCGGTGGAATACTATTAGCGGGTTGACATCTGTGCTCGCAGGTGACAGCCCCATTGACGCACACACAACGTTGGTCACAGCGTTCGACAAGGCGCTGAGGAATCTGCTGAAAGTTTCGAAATTTTTCGCCATTGTAGATACAGAATTCGTCTACGACAAAACAAAAGCAGAATCGTTTGTTAGCTTGTTTTTACTGCGAATGATTTGCAAACATCCCGTCCCTATTATTCAATGTAACCTGACATGCATACATCTCGTTTATAGCGATCGCTATGTGAAATAACTCTATTACAACGGCTCTACAGGTATTGAGCAAGTTCATCGCAGACTTAAGGTAAAAGATCAACAATCTGTTTTTGCCCTATCCTAAGGGCATATTTTGATACTATAAGCGTCACGGACACTAAATACTTTCACGAGCGTTTGTGGTATATGTAACATATACCACAAATTCGTTTAGTCGTTTTAAGAGACCTACCCGATATTCCACTTTTGCATTTTGTCGGAGGACAACAGTTTGGTGGTTTCGGCACAAAATCACTTGAGTCAATCGAGTCGACGGCCGAGCACTCCACGTCACGATGGCATTCCAAGGGACGACAGAGAGCCTTTCCGTTAACCTGGCAAATGCATTTCTCGTGACAATCATGGAAGAAGGTCTCGCCAACCTGTATCGAGGACAATCGCAGCACATCTCACATTTGGTCACAGAGATCTCACATGTTATAGATGTCCATTCATATACATAAAGGCTGCTGCCTAAAGAGCACTTCGAAACCATTTTAATATGTCACATTTTTTTGTTTTTACAAACAACAGGAATTCAGACTTTGTTGGTTCAGCTATGAAAATTAAAAAGGGAATTCTGCGCACCTTATGCGGTAATCCGGTATGATCTGAGCACGTGACGTTAAACTCCGGAAAACCAAAGGTTCTGCCGTGTGACGATGCTTTGCCAACCGAACTGTCGTCGTAATCGTCATTCGGATGATTGGCGGAGTCGCAAACCGGCACTTTGCAACAACGATCATCAGGCGAATCTTCAAATCTGCAATGCTGATAGCCGACAATGTCCACGTAGACCTACCGTTCACGGATATGAAAAGGACAAACAATTAGCTAGCCTTTTAACATGTTTAAGACATCGTACCCTAGAACGAAACCAACAAAGCTGACTGGAATACGCCTACTTAATTCTGGTAAAAAACAAAAAAAAAAAACTTTTTCGTTTTCTGATACATCGTTCAGTAATCGCTTCTCACAAGTCACAATGTGTTGTTCAGATCAATATAATTACTTAATAGTGGTTTCACTGACCTTACATCTCTTCTGGCATTCTACCATCCCAGCCCTCTCACAAACGCATCTTTCCTCACATCCAATGTCGAAGTGCTGACCGACTTCGTATGTCTGGTTATTATGTAGGCATCCACTAGCAAGTCGATGAGTGTGCTGTAAAGAGGTTCGTGCTCTGACCGTATTGCTTTTGGCCTTCGACACTACTACCTTAAATAAATAGGCCGTGTTTGCTTCAAGTCCAGGAACGTCAAGTAAGTATCCATCGGATGCAGTTAGCTGCAATAATAACGTGTATATTACTTTTTTTTTTTTTTTTTTTTGAAAATCCCTTACCTAAAAAGAGTGGTCTTAGATAATTCGTATAGTATCATTACATGTCAACAGCGAAATCTAGTGGCATAGAAACATATTCCATCCACTTGGCTGTGAGATTTCTTTGCACTTCAATTGCCTCACAGTAAAACCCTCTTTAGACATTCATCAAGGCAACTTCATCTGCATCCACAACCCAATCTGCTTAGAAGATCTTATGCTGTTCAGGTTACCTTGTATTTCCTCTTTACCCAACGGTCCTCGTTGTCAGACTGCTTTTTAAACCAGACTTGGGCAGACGGTGGCTGTTGGCCTGCTCTCGCGATGAATCCCACGGCTAGTTGACTTTCGTTGAAGATCTTCACTTGTTCAACGATTAGTTGGATATCTTTGAAGGACGTTTGTGAACAAATATAATGGCTGTTTAATTTTTAGATATGGCTAAAGAGAAGATTGTATATCGACATCATATTATGTAAGTCGTGTCAACTCATATGTATACGGGATGTTTATGATGGGGATACAGGACCAAGTAATGCCTCTTGTTCACCTTGTGCAGATTTTAATGGCGCTTCGCCAGGTGTGTCAGGGCAGCTGAGAATTTTGCAGCAGGAATCAACAGGATGTGAGATGATCACGCAATTTGAATCATCGGAATCTCCAATTTCCTGGTGACAACGTGGCTCGCAGGCAACATGACCTCCACCGATACACGAACATCGAGACTCACAGCCATTATCGAAATCTTCATTTGGTTCGTACCGATGTCCTGGCCGTGTGTAGATGCAATTATAAGTTGAGGCACGTTAGGCATATTTTGCTTTAATGTTTAGGGAACTTAACGTGACTTCAGACCTGCAACCTCCAATTTTTGTAACCAACGGCTTAGGTGAAAGCTTCACAAGAAGCCGTTCAAGAATGGATCTAAAAGCGTCAATGATAGCTGTAGCTATTCAGTGAGAACTGAATGCAACGAAGTCAGAGATACGGGGCGAATGTTTTTATCACTAAAGAAGCAAAATGAGATTAGCGCACCATCTATTAAGCTGGCAGAAAGTTGTCATAAGAAAAAGTCATAAAAATACCTAAATTTAAAGCAGTTGTACGAAGCGTAATCTAAGAAAGATAATCACCTGCTCATTTATTTCAAATACCCGAACTTCCTATGGATATTTTATATTTGAGCGGCATCCGTAATGGCCTTCATTGGAACTCTAAGCCGACACCGATACAGCGAGTCGTTTTTTTGGAAACTGCTATGGCTAGGATTGGAACTGCTACGTTCAAATTGTTTTTCCCATCGTTATGAAAAATACAAACTTAGTGGAATCGGCAGCAAAATTTCTATCTGCAACAATAGACATTGGCTTGCGCAAAAAAATAGGGACAAGGACCTTAAGAAGGTACCAAACCTATGCAAGCCTGTAAAAAAAAGCGACACTACCCACACAGGTTAATACTGTTAGGCTGAGTTCGTGGAAAACGACAAATTTGGAGTTGTAGGAGAAATTTCAGCATCTTAACGTGCAGATATTTATGCCAATAAGAAGCCCCAGAGTAGTCAGTCAAGCCTAACAAGGACGAAACTCATCTCACGCAGGCAAAGTGATCGCCGACCGACGTCGTATGATACATTTCATGTATCACAATTGCTCTACGAGCTTGTTATAAGTTGGATATCTCGTCCATATGCATGCAGATTACGTGCCGAATCGTCGAACCTAAACTCTCTCTTAATAGAATAAACTTCTTATGATTCAGACAGGTAAGTTGTCTTCCTTTCAATACCGTACGCTCTGTGCTTGAATCATGTACTTCGTCTGAACAAGAAAGGTTGGTTTTCAGCCTAAAGTTATTTTTCCCATCTTTTGCCCATTTCCTACCATTGTATTCGCAGCCTTGCGCCGAAGCTGGATGGGCCCTCAAGGTGGAGACAGCATGTGACAAGCCAAAATTATCCGTCTTGTTGTTAGCATTGTTTTTAAGTAGTCGAGGGTGCTCGCAGGCGAGGATGTTACAACAGGCATCTTTGGGATCCTTGATCAGATGACAGTTAACAGGGGTCCATGTCGGCAGGGTAGGACACCTCTGACGACATTCGACTTCGAAGCGATCACTACAGTGGCATCGGAATAAGCACTCATCCTCAAATTCCTCGCCAACTGGATATCGCCTAATTGGGGAATGTTCATGGTGAAACGTAAGTAGTCTAGTATACATAACATTTGGCTGATATATTTGAATTCATGTCCCGCAGTTAGCAGAAGAAGCAGTCTTCATTCGGAAGTGAGAATATTTACCATTAGATGCCATTTCAACCATCACTTTATCTTTTCCCCGAGCTCGTTTCTCTCTAATTGTAAGCTTGCCATTTGCGTAGCCGTTAACGTACATACGTTGCCAACTTCTTCGTTTGTATGTTTTCGTCGTATTTAGTAGAGTTAATGTTCAAGCAGACTCCATGTACGTATTACGCAGTTGATGACCCTGGCAGACGTTTAATGTTTAGGCCACTGAACGCGGGACAGTTGGACAAAATGGTTAGGTCATACTTACTTATCCTTATACGAGCATACACCGGGATCTGTAGGGGCGATATTTGGGGTGAACTTATCGCATCCCACACGCGTATTTCGAGGATTTCCAGAGTAACCTTTTAAACATTCACAAGAGGCTTTTCCATGTGCAAGAAGACAGAACGTGTTCGGGCCGCAGGACAACACGGTGCAGTCATCTAGAAGGCAGAAGTAAATACTTAGTTGTCCTAAATTGCTTCTTTGCAAATGACCTAGCATATAAACATTTAGATTACAACAGAAAACGTAAAAACTATATATGATTAGGTTCTAGAGGAGCCAAAGTGAAAAAACCTAATAATTCCATGGCTTTAGATGTAAATAAATAAAAATTCGAATAGAACCGTATTGACTGTTTCGGCTACAATTGATTTCGAAGTTATATGTGCGAAGATCATGGTGGAAAAATTTGTTCAATAAGAACCTAGATTATGAGGCTTCTAATACGCATCGGGGTCTCACGTAGATCTTGAAAATAAATAAATAAAGGTTTTTCGTGTCGATAATTGTCCGATGATATGGTTCACAAACCTGTTTTAGGTTCCGGAATTGGGCTGATGCAAACCGATACCCCACATTTGTCCCTGTGACAACATTTTTCTTCTCCCAGGCAGTCTAAATCAGTGTGGCATTCATGCAGACATTCCTCGACAGTCACCTTCATACAACGAGTGTGCACGACATCGTAACTCGGATATTCTATTTTGAGCAAATTATTACTATCATTTAACATATTATAATCATAGAGCTCTATATGCATCCTTTTATTATTTCAGAATATATTGTTAAAGTGACAAGCTCCCATTTCGGCTGAGAAGTTCATAAAGCTGATTATATAATCGTATGAGTACTCCATCGACAAGCTAACCGTTATAAACACGTCGGTGCACATATGGCTACTTCAGTAATAGCTAGTAATAATAGGCCTCAGTTTAGAAAAACCAGACAAAACACTTAACCGTCTTTTTTTTTGTGTCGTTTATGGATTAATATATTACTGAGTGCTTCGTCAAGTTTATATACATCTATATCATTATTTTGTTATCTATCTGTTGTGTTGTGCATCGCTCTATTGTGTTATTGTTGAGATTTCTTTATCTGGGCATTACCCGGATCAATTGCAAACAAAAGAAAACCAAAGTTCTAGCTAAGAATAACTACTTCGGGGCGGTATCGGCGTAACATAGGGTGGTTGCTTAGGTACGACAGTCAGTCATTTTCTCATAATTGCCGTTTAAGTTATTCGTTGAAACAAAAACGTTGAATGACGGTACTAAACGTTGCGCTGTCTGGCATCCTGGCGTTCGAGCGTACGTACGTTGTATTCGACCGAAGGGCAATTTCCAGGTTTGCCATGCTCGCAGTGTACACTAACGCAGCAACTATCGTTTGCAGAGGGCACTTGATGACAATGCGAGGGTGAGGCAATGATAGAGTTGCCGAAAGAAGAAACTGGGCACCGGGGTTCACAGTCAGCATTGTCGCTTCCACGGCACACACAACGCAATGAACAGCCTTCAAAGAAGGTAGCACCCACCCTATAGCTTTTACCTTGCCGAGAGCATCCATCTAGAAGGCAAACAGAGAAAACGTACAGAAAACCGAGAGGAAAAAGGTAATTTATGCTAAAAGATATTAAAATCGGAGAAGTGCGCTTTCTTTTCGCTAATGATACGTGCCGATCGATGATCTATGTAAAACAAACAGCATTGTTGAATATGTTTGTTTGATATGACTTGTACCGAAATTCTGAACGACGATACGCTTTTTTTGTTAAAATTCCCCATACTCTTAACTATCATGGTTGAATCATTTCTAATAGCTAGCTATGGCTGTTTGTTTTATGATCCAATCGAACAGGGGGATTCGACTAAAGCCAAGGTTTTGTTGAATGAACATGGTCGCCAAGTTTATACCAAGCCTCAAAACGAGTACCCTTCAAGATGACAATGCATGAAATGTCCTGTCCCTATGGCCTGTCAATACGTCCATTCACTGATTCCAATGATGCAATAATGGCGTCTGCGTTAAATCACACTACAAAAGTTTACAAATATTTGATTCTGACTTCGGTGACGTACAATTATCGGCACAAAACGCATATTATGTCTCTGTTTGAGTATTTACCTGGTTACTGAAACTGTTCAATATATAGGTTGGTGGAAGCAAAACACTCTATACCTTCGGTAAAAACAAGAAGACTGTCGGAAACGAAGTTCTCCTGATTTCGAACCTGAAACAGGTATCCACTACCAGGCACAAGGTCCTTAATCGCACTGAAGCTGCCTGAAGCTTTCACCTTTGTCCAAGCATCAAACGACTTAGCGTCGCTTGGCCGATACTCGATTGTATATCTTAAAAGAGTCCGAAAATCACGCTAGCATTACAGCATACGAAATTTAACTTTAACTTTTTTTTTACACAACTTTATTTAACTTAAACATTTATTTTACCTGATGTTTAATTACATCAACCTAACAGCTCTTATTTTACAATGTAGAAAATAGGTAATTTCTCTGTATCAGCGAAGGCATCGAAAACATTAGGTGTCTTCTGTTTGTCTAATTTTACCTGCAAGTCATACATTTTTATGAATATTTTATTATCCACAATAGAGAAGCATTTTTTTTTTACTTATTGGTACTGTCGAAGTCGTCCCAGGCAAGAGTAATTGTGTTTGCTGATCGCGACACCGTTTTTAGTTGGGGCAATTGTAAACTCGTATCTTCCGGGGTTTGTACTACAGTCATTTCCTGCGAATTGTTCATTTAAATTAGTGATGTGATCTTTTGTCATAAACGATATATTACTACCTGTCTTGAAATTATTTAAAGTAATCTGCCAAATAATCCTTCTATTAATTATTATAGAAAAAAAAAACATGTTATTTATTTTTTCGTTGAACGACTAGAATCATCCCGAAGTTCCTCATAAAACACAAAGAAAAAAAAAACTAAGTAACCTAGACATTTAAGCATTTTAAAAATTACCAACTGCCAAGGAACATTCTTTCGCCAACTAACGTTAAAGTTTATAAAGAAGCTATTTTTATTTTTTTGACAAGAAAAAACGTTTCGGGGCGTAGATATACCACCGTTTGTGTTCATATATTCATAGATATATTCATACATCTCATTCCGTGATTATGTTCTATCTATTGTATTATAACTGTTATATTATTGCATTGATAAAAGACGCTACATTTGTTCGGGACAATGTAAACAATGGGGACCGCAAATATCTGCCATCACACCCCACCTCTCACTAGCATTAGACGCTATAGGGTACTTCGCAAGTTTTCTATTATAATACATTTTTATGATCGATTTCTGGCTGAGGTTATGGTTTTCACTGCGCACAGATATTTAACATAATTACTATGTATGAATTGTCTAAAAATAGAGAACTGGTCGTTCTGAATGTGTGAGACCAGTTACATACCAGTATGAACAAAGAATGATTTAGTTTGGTGAAGTAACTTCTCGTCCGATGCCAAAGACTCATAGGAACAAGGAGAAATTACTACAAATTAGAATAAGAAATACGCTTGGCAGATATATCTGCGACCCCTTTTTGTCTAAACTAAGCACTTGTCATCATGGCATTAGTGAAAATAGTATTATTATTAAACTTATTTTATTAGTTATATTTTATAATTTCTCATCTGGTTAATTAGAACTTGAATGATTATATTACATAGTTACGTAACAGGAAAATTCTAAACGCAACGTAATTTCAGGGCAGAATTTTTCCGAGTCCATCTTGCTTGTAAATAAGATTACGGTACAGCGATAATACAGAATTATCTATATTTAAATAAAGATCGTTGTACGCATTTGCTGTGCGCAGGTTGGGTCGAAACACTTGATTAGAGGAAGATATTGTGAAGGCAACAGATAAATAAATCGTAAACTTCAACGTTTGATCCGATTCATAGACCTCGTTGTATGTTTACAGGGCATCACTTCGAATTAGCATTTTACCTCAGCGTTGGCCATAAGCCGACATCGGATAGAGGTTTAATGTTTCTGTCGCTAATGCGGATAAAGAAATTACGCCGACGGACTAAAAGGTTATGACTAAGGACGAAAAGGTTTCCTGGAAGCATGTGGACGCGTAAATGTATAGGATTCGGTCGTAAACTTTCTCTCGCTAACCAGAAAAGAGGTAGATTGTCACTTGTATAGAACGAGCTGCCTGAACTAAACAAGTAAAACAGTATTACTGGTTAATATATGAAGGGCGGCACGGGGTATTTATGTATGTGCATCTGGTACGTGATGCTACTCTTGATGAGAATAAATCGGTCTAACCTAAAACAGGTTACATTACAATAAACTAGTAGGAGATCAAAGTTCACGGCATGGATAGAAGTTCTCGTGAAGGCTATACATTTACCGGCACACGAGTACACATAAATAACTAGCGTCCTGATACTTCTAGAATGGTGACGCGTTCCTAATAGCCTAATCCACTTCACTGTCTACCCCAAGTTATTCATACTTCTTAAATTATGTCGATGCTCCGTCAAAAAAAACTAACATATAGAGCCTTTTGTGCAAAAGGACTCGAGCCTATTTTTCCCGACTTGTAGTTCTTGAATCTACTAATCAATCCTCGTGCTAATGGAAGAATAATAATCTTCGGAAAATTTACCATCTAAATACTAAACGATAGCGAGGGCAAGTCTATTTAAACCTGTTGTGAAAAAGGGCTTAAGTACATTTTTATACACGCTGCGCACGAGAATAAAGACGAAATTTGCCAAATTCAGCGTAAACTTACGGTTTTGATCGTTAAGTATTAATAGTTCTCCCGTAAAGAACCTATCGTGATCGTAATATACGATTTTTCCCTTGTGCATAATCAGACCATTTTTCCACTTTAGCTTGCATCAACTTAAACCGTTTTACGGAGAATTTTTTTTACAGTCTTGAGCTGCTTACCCTCTACGTATGCGCTGGCCACGAATTCCTTTTTTAAAACCAAGTTCTTTTTGGCCGCCCGCCTCTGGTTTAACGACACTACTTGGCTTGCCTACCGTCTTCGGTGCTAATATTTTGTTATGTCTGCAGCTTTAATTCCTACAAACAAGTATTTGCAGCGGAGCATCAGGAAAGCCCATCAATTTGCATGAAGTAATTTGAAGCCACTTCGTACTGTGTAATGCCATGACACCCAGCATTTCTTCGATTGAAATCCAGATATGATTGAGTAGCATAGATTAGATCGAAGGAAAGAGTAACTATTTACTATATTTTTTTTTTTTTTTTTTTTCGGTAGAAGCATACGACATCTGAAGTACATATATAGTGCAAAGAGCTATTGTTAATGGCGAAGTATGTATATGCTCAACATATCCGTACGTATTGGTTGGAGTGTTGATTTGTGTAAGTTTTACGGAAGGCGGAAGGGTACATGTGAAGAACCTATGTGTATATAAAGAATGAAAAGGAAAATATGTTTAAATGTAGTTTAGTGTTTATTAATCAGCCCAAAAGTAATTCTCTTATCTTAAATTAGCATTTGTATCTTTGGCTGCATTGTATAGTCGCGTAAACAAAATCCGAGCCGTTCCGGGAATATTTGGCCATAGTCGACATGTTGCTTGAGTTCTAACCGAAGGCTCAGTGACTGAGCGACAGTCTAGTCCTTTGTACGTTCATAACGCGAACATGTAGTACGCTGAGAGAGTTTGTTCGATAAATAAATTTTAAAAAAAATTATAATCAACGAGTCACTGTACGTATAACGCGACTAGTAGCTTTAGAACAACGTCGATTAGACAGAACTGGAAAAATGGTAGTGAGCTTAATCAAGATGTTGCCTTTCGACTGCTCGTTGGTTTTCCTAAAGACTTTTTATAACGGTGAGGCCGTAACGTATTCGCCTATTACCCTTTGAGACAGGCGAGGTGGTCTAGGTGGTTTAAACTAGGCACTGATACGATTTGGTGCTACTGGCCAACCGTTTGAAGTTACGTTAAACAATGACAATAGAACTGAACGTAAGACTCGAGACGTATTTTGTCATTTCGAAAAAGTCCGTCTCTTTCTTTATTTTGGCTCAGCGGGGTAATTGTTTCGTCGTCCGAATATTAGTTAGTGCTCAGTATAGGGTTATTTGTACTTGATACGTATTTTAAGATCTTGTAAACGCTCGGTGGCGCGTCCTGGCAACTCACCCAAGTGTTATCCTGCATTACTTTAACGACGTACTCATGTTTGGGCCGGAGGCTCCTAAGAGTGACCGAGTCTCCGTCCTTATTAACGAGTGCCCCGCTCCAGGCCGTATTGGCACCATCGTATTTTGCGCTGTGATGAACACAAATCGAGTAAATAAACAAGAACAACTATTAGTACCAGAAACAAGGGATTAGGGCTCTCATATTAGACTTAACTTGGAAAAGCTAGGTCAGATCAGAAGTTACGATTATAACTTGCCAATTTTTTTCGTTCCAAAGCAAGCGCACGAACTGAATGATTTTCAAAAGTTATTTTTGAATCATAGTTACCCTACTGTATAAAACTTATTAAACTTAAAACTCTATTTAGCATTAAGCCTTATTTGAGAACATTCAGTTTTAGGTGCTGGTGGTTTTAGGCGAAAAAACGTCATGGCGGGAACGATCGTTTTTCTATTGAAAACAGTTAAGAACATGATACTGAAGCCAGTTATGAAGCGGCAGTTAACTATATCGGTTAGTTGATAAATCGCCTATATATTAGCAGCTAAATCAATGTGGCATCGTTACGAATTGTATGTAAAACCTTATTTTACGTGTAGAATCAAAGGAGCAGTGGCCGCAAGTACTATTTATTTTGCCACATGTGGCGAATTGTGTTAATTTTCGATCGGGAAATTATACAGACCTGTAGAAAATTCCAGCTGGCCGTTCCACCTTTTTTCGTAATTTCCACCGCAGCTCAGCTGAATGAGATGTCACATTAGATATGATAATTTGAAGTTTTCCTGGAATAACCACAAAAACCACTGAATATGACTGTTCTTAGACAAATACCCCATATGGATAGCTTCGTAGTGGACCCGCACAAAGTTGAACGTACTACTTAAATACACAGAATTAGCAAGTACAATGAAAACTATTTTTAATCGGGATGGAAAGGAAACAGTGTTTCGCGTTCAGACCAAAAAATCAGGAGTAGCACGGAAAATTTTTCTTCCAAACTGTTTGTTAATCGCTTACTGGGAAAATCTTTTAAACTAAAGTCAGATACGATGTTTCGGTTCAATTTGTTTTCATTCTAATTTAGGAAATTTGAGTTAAGTTAAAAGTAAGAGTTAGTAATTACATTTCATTGCGCAGCATCGAGAGCGTGCCGTACGTAATCGTACAAGTCAACTACACTAAAGCGTCCAAATCGTAACTCTTAGACGAGTATTAAGGGATTCATCTATCGGTGGAGCTAAAATGAAAAAACTTCCCTACTAATTCATTTTATAAGAATACATTCTATGGTATAAAAGGCATCCCGTTTGCCTCCCTCTAATTTTATCAACGGTATGTCAATTTGTAATAAACACGAAATCTAGTTTGAACGCTATTTTTGGCTTTAATTATAGACGATTTAATGGCCGATAGTTGGATTCTCGCTCAAATGTACCGGCTAACTTCGAAGCGCATTAGTTCCCTTGACGCTTGACGGTAAGCTGTTGAAAATCAGCTTCGGCCATATATCCGTTCAGAGATATCAACATTTTCACTGAACCTTCTGTCGATGGTTCGACAAAAAAGAAAATTCGTCATTTTTTATACGGACAGATTATCAACGGAACGTATATAGTGTACGCTAAGCTATAGCATGATGAAACGTTATGTAGAAAAAAAAAAAGGACAATGGAGAGAACTGGTTATCTCTTTAGCAGTATAAAATTCATCTTGTTTATATATTGTTTAGCAACGAATTTAATTAGCTTTACGCAAGTAATTATGCAGCAAAGTGAATTGAAACATTGTCTGCTTTCTTTCACACACCTCTAGCGGTCCGCATAGCTTTCCACACCGTATCATAAGCTACTAATGAAAAAAGGTCATACATCGACACGGATTTTTTTGCATGCTCTTGAAAAATTTCATCATTGACAGAAACAGGTTCACTTCTGTATTTTATATGCTTTGCAGATGTACTTGGAAAGGTGTTACGTCCTTTTCGTCAACGAAAATTTCCACTATTTCGCCTGCGGGCTGCAAAGCTTTAAGTGTACCGTTTAATATTTTTTCCGCATGAGTAATCAGGTCTCGTGCCTGTTCATCGTTCACTCGATGATCTTTGCAGCTTCAACAGGTTTTTTTGTCGTTTCCAGCACAGAATGCGCGGTGCCAATCCGACTGTAGATACCTTGGATCAGTTCGATTGTATCTTCATTTTTCGAACTGGTTACTGACTCCGATAGAGCGTCAAACCCGTTTCGTAAGGGATGGCTCATCTTGAATCTTTCCGTTAAAACACTTTATTTTTCGCCTTAATTTAATTGAATTATTCGTAATGTTGCCACTTTTAGAGGCACTCGATGATGTCTTGGCAACTTCCATAAATATCATGCAGCGTTTCGAAACTTCCCGAATGACAGGACAAGCAGTTTTGTATAGCAAACATCTGAGCGTAATCCTGATGAACGGTTGACTTTAAGTATGTCGTCTTTGTTATTCTGCGTTTTATGTTCGCGCCTGCCTGCCTGTACGTACATGGGGAGGCATGATTAGCTTGCAGTTACACGGTGTGCACGTGTGCTTTTCACGCGCTCGCTATTGCTTCGTATTCGTATCTATTTCTCTAGAAGTAAGAGACCTATTTGCCAAACGCAACAAAGTTGTCGTGTTTAACAGACATTTTTACGTATATGTTACAATTAAACTCCTCGATACCAGCGTCAACTATGGCGTTTTTACGGGATGTCGTCGCGTTAACGATAGCATTTTTGGGCTCGTTCCGTGTGGAGCCATAGTATTCAAATGAAGCAACTGCTAGCGCTTTAACGGGACGGCCCAGCAGGACAAAAGAAAGAAATAACAATGACCGGGCTGATGTCTGGTCATTATTATTCAGGCTCAAGTAAAGTGCGAAACTCCGCTGTCACATAATGGTCTCCGAGAAAGAAACAAGGACGCAGGTCAACAATTAGAAATAGGAAGAGCAGAAGGTCTTCGTGGAAAGAAATCTACATCACAGGTCGCTGATTTCAATGGCTACATCTAGGAAAAAGCTTTTCTCTATTTTTATCATCTAAATAAATACACGCCATTAAAGAGAAATGAATCACAATAAAATTCACACTTTAAAAACAATGTGTAATAAAAATGCAAGATCGTATGGAACTACAAGAACATGTGATCTTTCAGCTTAGAAAGCGCGATTTACGGAAAATAAAGATTTTCAAAATGATTGCTGATAAAAAAGCATGTCATGTAATCTATTCTTTGAAAGTTCGCGTTCCGTTTCTTCTTGCTCCTAGACCGTGAAATTTTTTAGCAACCGTGATGGTTTTTGTTTATGGATCTCCCTGATTTAAGTTATGCTCTTCAGCAAATGAGGGATGTATTCAAAAAGCAGTATCTCGTTCAATCTAAAAAAAAATAGGCCGCGAATGGGTACAATTGATATCGGCGAGGGCTTTTCAGTTTAATTTTATTTATTATAACTTCGATAATGGTTACTAGATTTAAAATTAGCCCCTTATTGGCTTAACCGATCATATTCGCAATACGAGCATCTGCTTAAAAATATAAAGTTATAAAGAAAACTATGCCTGTATCTGTCGATGTACTTGGCTTCTATGTTTTGTCAAATAACGCTTGCTAGTCAACAGTTTACGACGACAAACAAACATTCTCCGGACGATTCTCTGGGTTAGTTAATGACAGCCGTTGGATGATATAATCGGGATTAAAAGGAAAAGTTTATTTCACACAGTCTTGCTAGATTTGCGGTTCGTGCTAATCTTTCTAATTAGGTTATGGAAAACGTACTTTTTACGTTTTTAACGTAATATAACGATTACTTCTGCTTGCAGCTGACGTCAGTCTGAGTTCAAGTTGAGAAAAAAAACTCCTATGAACTTTTGTTCTGTATAAATGTCCTGTGTACTTCCTACCATACGTATTTCTAGGTGACTGAACGTCTTTTGCGAATCTTTGATAAACGTCGGAATATCGATCAATAAATGAGTAATTAGGCGGTTAAAATTTGTTCTGTGCAGGTCTAGGTTCAGCTTTAAGAATACGGTATTATTTTGTCAAAACGCGGAGTTTTTCCCAGAGAATCGGAGCCCCTCCGTGGCGATCGGCGCAGTCTTCAAACTACATAGGCCAGCTTCCATTTCAATTAATAGTTGTTGCGGATTAAGACTGTTGCAATCGTTGCTTTTCAAACTCTTTTCCCTATTTGATTGGCGAAAGATTCGTTGTCGTTGATGTTTGGCCGACGTACGGTTTTTCAGGACTGTTCCGTTTCACAGGAAACGAATCACTACGCACAAGTTTTCCGTCTGTCCTGAGGTTTGCTATTACTTGGATACCAAACTCGACAACGCACTTGTTAAGGATTATTAAGACCAGTCGCAGATAGAATCTGCTTGTGGTGGGCCGAAGCCAACCCGATATTGTTTATGTTAGGTTTTGTATTGCTATTTTGTATCAGACGCCTCAGGTACATCACAGCTACGTTGAAAATGATAGAGTGATTATTCCTACGATCTTTATCACTATATACAGTTTGGAAATACAGGGCTTTTTAAATCGAATACTTATCAAGTGGTGACCAAAAACAGCGATATTAAAGTGACGATATCTAGGTTTATTTATCTTCGATGAAGTTTCAATGAGGATGCGGCAACCTTTTGTCCTGTTTGAAACATGTACACATACGATCTTGCATGATAGCGGTTGATTATGAGGTAAATAACGCTACAACGCTTCACCGTCGAGTAGTTGAACATATGGCAAACACTGGTCAATCAGTGACTCAGCATATTCTTCCCCATGACTTTTACATTATTCCCAACGACAACAGCCGTATAAATGGCCATGGACGATTGAAGCGCGGACCACTGCTGGGCCCAGCGATCGCTAGGGCTCTGCTTCGGTGTCGGCATTCCATGTGCCATCGAAGACCTGAACACTTCCGGTCAGATGAGATAAAGATATTTTATTAGTCAAATAACTGTTAGTATAGCCTATTCGCTTGAAAAGAAAGAACAGCCCATACGGATGCGCTGGACGATGACACGCAGGAACGTCTTCGTCACAGCTATAGACATGAACGAAAGGGAAATACGCGAAAAGTTTTACTTCTCAAAGCAGCATTTCCTCTCATGGTATAGCTGATTGATAATTACAGCACAAATATCACTGTGGCTATCCGTCTAGCAAAGTTAAAGATAAAGTTTCAGAAAGCCCCCGAGATTTTTCCACCTAGATTACAGCCAGAACTTCATATTTATTATCATTTTTCTGATGCATAATTGTAATGGACTTGTCATTTGTTGGCTGACTACGATGACGCCCTAAATTGTTTCGAGAATTATCAATAACCGCACCAATATATAATTGAAGCTATAAATAGTTCGAGTCTTCAGTGAGCATTTCGTGTATGCCTTGCGGAACGTGTGGACTTCGCACTCCCCTAAATTAATCTTTCAAACTTAAAATTTATGTCTGACATTCACCACATCCTCGAAGTTCAAGTATATCCAAGAAGTATAATAAAATTATTCTGCACAAGCTATGACTCGGAAATGGCTACGTTCTCTGTTTGAATATATTTAGTAACCATGTTACTAATTGCCTTCAAAAAAAGCAGTATACATTTGCATTAATTACTATATATATAAATGGACCACCTAACATGCTTCGTTGCAATAAGAATATACTGTTCCCAGCGCAGATTTGTCTTTGACTTATTCGTAGTTGATTGGTTATTAAGCATGACGTGCTGAATTAAGCCATTAAGGTG